CACTATCATGACCCCACTTCTACCTTATAAATCCAGTTAGACTGGAGCATGTACACTGGTACAGATAAAAGCTCTGGACACTCGGAGTCCAGGACAGTTAATCCCCTCAGGAACAGTAAAGGGAGTAGCAATACCAGGAGGGTAGGGGAAGGTGGAGGAAGAAAGGAACCAATTGCAATGATCCACATATAACACCTCCCTCCCCCAACAGGGGGAAGAACAACAGAAATGTGGGTGAAGGGAGACACAAAATGGTGTAAGATATGAAAATAATAATTTATAAATTATCAAAGGTTCTTGAAGGTGCGAGGGTGGAGGAAGGAGGGAAAAAAGAGCTGATACCAAGGGCTCAACTAGAAAAGAGAATGTTTTGAAAATGATGGTGGCAACATATGTACAAATGGGCTTGATACAATTGATGTATGGATTATTATAAGAGTTGTAAGAGCCTCCAGTAAATTTTATATTTTAAAAAGTTGTACAATCATTACGACAGCCAATTTTAGAACATTTTCTTCTTTCTTGTACACCTTGCTAACTCCCATTTCTCCCCAATGTCCCCTACCATATCACCAAAGAAACCATTAATCCAGTTATTGTCTTTATATTTTTATATTTCTATATATCCACATACTTTAAATCTCTATAGATTTACCTATAAGCTAATTTTCTAAGGAAACAAATTTCCTTCTGAAAGGCTCTTTCTCCTCACTAGCCTATTGCCAATCATTGGATATTGAATTAATGAACTTATTACATCCATAATCTTATACCAAAGTAAGCAATGTAGTTTTCATATCAGAATATTCCTAAATCAGACCTTCCCCTGTCTTCTTTTGTCCACTCCCCAGTGCCTGATTCCAATTCTGCTTACCTGGCTCTTAGCTTGTTTCCTGCTTGATAAGAAAGATCTGGGGGATCAAGCAGAGTAGATTACTGTATGTTTCCCTAATGCCATGCCTTGATTCTACCTGTCTGATTCATTGCTTCATTCTACCTTCATACATTGATCTACTTGTAATTTTTGATATTAATATTCCCCAGTAATCTGAATGTCCTTCATCCTCCTGAAGAATCCAGAAGGCGCAGTTTTCATTTGTAAGTCAAAATTACACAACAGAAAGCCATGATGAAGCTTGCTGAATGGAGAGTCTTTTTCCTTTTTCAAATCGCAACCTCTTCTATTTGGAACCTGAAAATTGCCTAGCAATCTTGACTAACATTCCATCCGTTATCATTCCTTATGGAATGTTTCTGTACCTACTACTTATTTCCTACAAAGGGTAGCGCGAAACATTAAGGTCGAATTTGTTTGGTTGCTTTCTGACAGATGGCACCTTTATAATCAAAAGAAAAAAACTGTGAGTGAAATACAAATGAGCTCTAGTCTACAAAACTTCAGTTTAGCTAACAACTTTTTTTCTTCAGATGTTTAACACTGAATGCTTATTTACATGTAAAAAATGATAAGCAATGGATTCCTTTTTCTTCCCATTATTTTGATAGCCCTACCTACATCTATTTTTCTAAAGAATTAGGATTTTATTAGATGTATTTTTCTCCTTTATACTTCATTAATTTTTGCTTTTATCTGTAGTAATTCCTATCAAGTGCTTTCTTTTGGTTTACTTTTTTCTATCATTTTCTATCTTTCACTCTTTTCTCTCATCTATTGATTTCTTTTTCTCTTTCCACTGTTTTCCAGGTATCCCACAGATTCTGGTACATCGTGTTTTCATTATTGCTTTCCAGAAGTTCTTGACTTTTTTTCTATGGAAACCTTTGTCACATGAGAGTTGTTTAATAGCAAAGCTTTTAATTTCCAAGTGAAAGTCTTTTTGTTCTGGGAATTCATCTTTAATGGCTAGTTTGATTTCATTGTGAATAGGTGGTGTTGCTTATAACATTTCTACTTTATGGAACCTACTGAATTTTTAAATTTGTGCCCTAGACTATGCCTGATTTTCATGGATGTTTCATGCGCACTAGAGAGGAAGGTATGTCCTCTGTTAACAAAGAGGACTATCCCTCATCCAAAAGCTCTTGGTGAGTTTTTCATCTCAATCTTCTTTGTCTTTGCCCATTTTTTGTCCATTTGGCCTATTGCCATTGAGGTGAGTAGGTAAATAGGTAGGTAAGTAGAGCTAGGTGTACTGAGAGGTTAAGTAGGCAGGCCAGCAAGAAAGAATGAGGAGGAGGGAAGGTCAGAGAGCGAGTGAGAGGGAGGCTGTGGAGTCAGTCTGACTCATGGTCTTCTGAGCAGCCAAGCAAAAGTTGCCCTGTTCTTGTCATTCTCACAACCACAGCTTGTCTGAGTCCATCATTGCAGTCGTGTCCATCTGTCACACGCAGGGTCTCCTTTGGCCTTGCTAGCCTTCTACTTCACCAAACGTGATGTCTTCCTCTTGTGACTAATCTCTCCTAACGATGTATCCAAAGCAAGTAAGCCAGACAACACTTCCTTACAGGTTTTCAGTGTCTAATTTTTATAAGCAGATCTCTAGGACTTTCTTCCTAGGCTAGCTGAGGCTGGAAGATCTGCTGAAGCCTGTCCACCATGGGTGACCCTGATGGTATTTGAAATAGCTGTGGGCATAGATTCCTGCATCAGACCTGAAAAAAGCCCCATTACTTTGAAGTCGATCTGACTCATAGTGAATCTGTAAGAACCGAGTTGAGCTGTTGTTGGTGGTTCCAACCCATAGTCACCTTATATACAACAGAACGAAACACTGTCTGGTCCTGCGCCGTCCTCACAATTGTTCCTGTGCCTGAGCCCCTTGTTGTAGCCACTGCAGAGCTACTGCACAGATTGACAACAGAGGGTTTTCATTCTTTACAGCCTGACCCAACCTATGGGATTTTCAGTGGCCTCATATGCATGCAAAAGTAGGACATTGAATAAGGAAGTCTGAAGAAGAATTGATGTACCATATATACTTGTGTATAAGCTGACTTTTTCAGCACATTTTTAATGCAGTTTTTGTGGTAAAATTAGGTGCCTTAGCTGATAGTTGGGTCGGCTTATACTTGAGTATATATGGTATTTGAATTATGTGGCTGACAAAGAATATTGACAGTATCATGGATTGCCAAAAGAACAAATGTCAGTCCAGGCGAAATAAAGCCAAAATGTTCCTTGGCAGCAAGGATTGCAGCACTTCCTCTCTCGTGCTTTGAGCATGTTGTTAGGAGAGACCAGGCCCTGGAGAAGGACATCATGCTGGGTCAAGTTGAAGGTCAGCAAAAAAGAGGAAGACCATCAACAAGATGAATTGGCACTGGCTGCAACAATGGGCTACAACTTAATAACAAACACTGCAGGACCTGGCAGTGTTTCCTTCTGCCGTGGACAGAGTCAGAACCAACAAAATCTTTACAGAAGCAGACAGTCTGTATGCTTTATCCTGTGGAGCCGCTGGTGGGTTCTAACTGCCAAACTTGTGATTAGCCACTGAGTGATTAACCACTTGCTGACCATCAGGACTCCTCGCAGCAGCATGCAAGCCACCATAATACAACAAACTGGCTGATGGGTGATGGTTCATACTGAAGGCGGTCCATTAAAGTCTTTCACTACTACTGTGTTTCTAAGGTACCTGAGCTGTGCAAATGGTTTGTGCTTGGCTGCTAACTCAACGATTGGCAGTGTGAACCCACCCAGGGGCTCTGCAGAAGAAACGCCTGGCAACCTGCTTCTGTACAGACTGCCGCCAAGAACAGCCACGGACAACAGTTCTGGTCTTGAGTGCAGAGAGTTTGTTTTTAGGGGGAGATGGGCATGTTTCCAGTTCTATCTGCTTTTCCTGCAATTGTTGTGTAATGCAAGTAATTGCTGTGTTATTTGAAACATAGAGCTGCCATATCTTGGGTTTTGTGGGAATGTGGCTTTTCATATAAAACACCTTTTATATTATTAAATGCTTTTTGGTTTGAAATCTACCTTGTTTGATATCAGGATTTTGATCCTTCCTTATTGTTTTCATTTGCCTGCTAAATCTTTGTCCATTATTTTATTTTTAGCTTTTTCCAGACATTGCAGTTGAGTTGTGTTTAATAAGCCAATTTGAAAATCTTTGGATTTTCCTTTGGATAGGCAAGATTCTGATATATAGGGATAAGGCTATTCCTACTTGTCAACATGACTGTTATATTTGATTGATCTGAATTGTGTTACATTCTCATATGAAGGGCCTTCAAAAAGTTCATGGAAACATTCTATTATCTTCTCAATCCATTTTTCTGTGAACTTTTTGAAGCCCCCTTGAATTGTTCTTCTTTGATGTGTCCTTCTTACTTTATATTTGTAAAGTTTTCTCTTTCTTTTCTTCTTGGCATTTAGGAAGGTTACTTTTAGCGGTTACTGTATATACTCGAGTATCAGCAGAACTGAATAACAGACGAGGCACCTAATTTTACCACAAAAACTGTGTTAAAAATGTGCTGAAAAACTCAGCTTATACACAAGTATATATGGTACTTTTGTTTTGATACTTAAATACAATACACCTTCAAATCCTTTTTTGTTATTTAACATTTTACTTTTAGCCAGTGAAATTCCTAGCTGGGAAGTGCCCTCACTGTGCGGTTTCTTCTATGAATGATGATGCTGGTGGGATGAGAAGGGTTAGGATGCCTTTTTTGTCCATTTCTAATGATGTTCTTTAGCTGCTCCATATTTTATCCTTCTAACAAGGAGTGGCCTTCTACTTTGCTCCTTTTCTCTTGCCTTCTTATTTTTAGTGACATTCTTTCTACTGTGTCCCAACATGTAATATTGATATATTCCTCTCCAATGTTGCAGTCTCAGCTTTAAATTTCAATCCTTAAATGTTCCCTCTCAGTCTTTTTCAGAACAGTGCTTATCTTCTACCTCTTTTCTTTTTTTTTAATGAACAGATTTCATTTTGGCCAAGAAATAGAAACACTGCAGTCTATTCTTGTGTGTTTTGAGATTTTCAGTGAGGGTGATCTGTTGTGTGTCTTTTTCCTCGATTTCATTCCAGTTTTCTTTGCCTTCATGTTTGTTTTGGGCAGGGCAGAGTGAGGCGGGGCTAACTTTGAGGGGATGGGCCAGTTTTTGAAAAAACTGTTAATTCACATTTTCTGGCCTTTAGCAGTAGTTTATAGTGAACATGGCTGGCTTCTAGCTAACCTGGTAATTTGTAAATAGCATTTTCTGTTTGAGAGTGCCCTCTTCTGGGCAGTTATTTTTATTATAGTTCAGGGTATTGTTGGGGCTTGATACATATTTTGTTTGTTATATATGTTATATATATTTTGTTTGTTTGTATTGGTTTATTTCCTTCTTTCCATTTACTGCCATGTGTCCAGGGGGACACCTCTTCTCTCCACATCGGAGTCTTCCCTTGATGCACTGCTCCTTCTGACCCCCCGCACTTTCAAGCCCTTACCTTATACCCAGGCCTATAGATTTATCACACTCTTTTTGTTTTGTTTTTTTAAATCATTTTAATGGGGACTTATACAGCTCTTATCATAATACATACATACATACATTGTGCCAAGCACATTTGTACCTATGTTGCCATCATCATTTCCAAAAGCTTTTCTTTCTGCTTGAGCCCTTGGTATCAGCTCCTCCTTTT